ACATACTAGTATTGCAAATGCACACGTCTGGTGTTGAAGTCCGTATGTTAACCTCTGAATAACTTTTGGTTTATTGTGTTGTTTGAGTGTTGGTGTCTTATTCGTGTCTACAAATCTACACTCATCCTCGATTTATAGCTTGACATATAATTTTCAATATACTTGTCTGGTTTTGTAGACCGTGTGTTAACCTCTGAATGACTTTTGGTTTTTATTGTGTTGTTTGACTGACATATTTGTTTTCGCCTTATGTGTTTGTATATCCCTTTGGTATTTTTCGTCCCTCTTTTACCGGTAGTTAAAATATGAGTTGCATTGCATAAAATAATGCATGCGTATTGCAAACAAGCAATCTTACGATAGGAATAACAAACATTCTTAATAATCTGTATTAATTTATATTAAAAGGGTAAAACAGACAAACAAACAGACACACAGACCAGAATACTTCACATTGTTTAATTTGAAAATAGTAAAACGAGGGTATTCGTGTTTATTTACATGGCTTTTTGTAATAAATTAATACATGTATAAGGCAAAGTAAATGTAGAAAACAACAACATTTAGCCAAAGGAAATAAAACAAACATTTAAGACATATTAAGACATTGAATCATTTTAACAGATTTGTGACATTTATCGTCGGTCATCTCAACGAGATTGATTTTCTCGCTTGAGCCGGTACGGCGAATGTGATAAAAGCAATCGAGTTGAGATGACCAATGATAATCTGTTTATCGCTATTTTACCTATGACGACGTTGTTAATTTCATTGACAACGGCACGTGCGCCCTTAGTTTCTTGTGATAATTTTTCATATCACTCTACTGTGCTGAGAAAGGAAATTATCAGTCAGTAAGATCAAAGGAAAATTTCATCAATAGCGATAAAATATATTATTACCAAAAACACTAACATAAACATAAACATAAAAAAAAATAAAATCAAAAGACAAGGTAAACATATCCCTAGTAAGTATGAAAGTCCCCTAAAAAATCTATTAAAATAACATTCTCATTCTAAAATGAATACACATTAAAAAAGAAACTATGAAGCATTAAAAAAGAAACTATGAAGCATTAAAAAAGAAACTATGAAGTCGTTGAATTGATTACAGGATAAATACATAACATACACTTAATGTCTATATTGCTATATAACAATTCAAATTCAAATATTTATTGCCATGTAAACTTTAAACAATAAGTTTTAATTCGCAATCAAATAAAAAATGTTTTTCATTTTCTAATATGTTACATTTGATGCACACTCTCTGCTCTCTATGAATATTAGAGATGAGTGCAATGTATCGGTACGGAAACGTGAAACAAGGGTACACATTAAAAGGGATTGAATACGCATTAATGAGCTTGGCACAGTGACATGATTATTTATATGACGTTAAACTGCGATGCACATTATTCTGACCTTTATAACATAGAAACTACTTAATAGGTTGTATGCAAAATATATTTGTACACACCTGAAATATATATCAAATAAACATACGAATTTTTTTTTATTCAAATAGGATTATAGAATTAATCCTTCTATATGTACATTTACATGTATATACGTTCAACAAAAGGTTAAGGACCACTTATCTTATTTTCCATTACAATATTAATAAAGTTGCAGTCTGAAAAAAGTCGATGACGTGGGTGGCATCACCTCCTTTAAAAAATAGGTTTTGGAAATTAGATTTTTATCCCTATAACAAAACCTTTCATAAAATGTGATTCTGTTACCAAAGAGTCCTTTCTTTTGAACTTTTTGTTACTGTAAAGATAAACGCTGAATTTCAATCACAATGTGTAAATTTCTAACATTACTGTCTTATTAAAAAAACAAAATGCCTAAAGCAAATTATTGACTATTTTAGTATGTCCTTCGCCTGACATACAATAACACACAATAAAGCAATAAAGCGGTGCTGCGTTCATTATCAGTGTTTGGACCACATAAGTTCGTCATCTGTAGCAACAAACAGTATAAGTTGTTGTTCTCATTAACAACGTTTGGATAACACTTGTGTTCTAGCAATAGTTTGACTATTTCAGTATGTCTTTTATCTGACGCAACTAATAATGCAGATTTGCTGTATTTATTTACAATATGTTGATCAGGGTTTCCCGCTGGTCAATTTTCTTTTTCACCACCTCAACAAAAACAATATTAAAATATCCCTTCTTACTAACAAAAAATTCTGTTTGCAAAAATCAAACATAATTCTACATATCTATTTTTTTATCTCCTTTGTAATAAAAAACACTCATTAATAACAAATATTTACTTTTACAAAAGATACTGTACAATTGCAATATAACTCTTTGACTTCTGGCAACACGGGATGTATATTCAATAGTTGTATTGGATACTTCCCGTCTTGTAGAATGATAAAGACTAGAGTCAGAAATGTTTCTTAGTTTTGATATTTTGATTCATGAAAACAGTTTTATTTCCGGATCATCTTTTAAAAGAGGTTGAGACGAAACATTATGCTCCATCCACATGCGTCGCTAAAACGATTGTAAAGTACTCACTTAAAAACAAAATGTTTCTATCAATGTTTTAAAAGAATCCTTCATGTGAAATGTGAAGCCATTTAACCATACAATTTTACAATACAATCAACACCTTTTTTAATTAGTCCATTGTTGTCGATAGGTATGGCATTCAACTGACGTAACACACAATGCCGATTTGGTTTTTTTATTAAAAAAGTTTGGATTACACTTGTGTTCAAGCAATTGTTTGACTATTTCAGTATGTCCTATAGCTGAAACAAAAACAATGTAGAGTTCCTGTTTTCATTGACAATTTTAGGATCACTCTTACTTGTGTTGTAGCAATATTTGGACGACTTCAGTATGTCTTTCGCGTGATGCAAAAACCATGCTGTGTTCATTAATAATATTTGGATCACACATGTGTTTTAGTAAGAGTTTGACTATTTCAGTATGTCCTTTAGCTGAGGCAAAAACAATGAAGAATTCCTGTTTTCATTGACAATGTTAGGATCACAGTTTTGTTCTAGGAAAAGTTTGACTGTTTCAGTATGTTCTTCACGTGATGGAATAAACAATGTGGAATTCCTGTTTTCATTGACAATGTTAGGATCACACTTGCATCCTAGCAATAGTTTGACTATTTCAGTATGTCCTTAACGTGATCCAAACGTTGTCAATGTACATAGCAACTCTGCATTTTCATTAATAATGTTTGGATCACACTTGTGTTTTAGCAATAGTTTGACTATTTCAGTATGTCCTTTAGCTAACGCAACATACAATACAGTATTGCTGTCTTATTAATAATATTTGGATCACACTTGTGTTTTAGCAATTGTTTGACTGTTTCGGTACGTCCTTTAGCTGACCAAACATACAATGCTGAGTTGCTGTTTTCATTGACAATGTTTAGATCACACTTGTGTTCTAGCAATAGTTTGACTTTTTCAATATGTCCTTTAGATGAAACAAAAAACAATGATGCGTAGCTGTTTTCATTGACAATGTTATAATCACACTTTTGTTCTAGGAATAGTTTTACTATTTCAATATGGTCTTGAGATGACGCAAAAAACAATCCAGAGTAGCTGTTTTCATAAAAAATGTTTTGATCACACTTGTATTCTAGGAATAGTTTGACTATTTCAATATGTCCTTTAGATAACGCAAAAAACAATGCAGAATTACTGTTTTCATTTCCAATGTTTGGATCAAGTTTGTGTTCTAGTAATATTTTGGTTATTTCAGTAAGTCCTTCCTTCACGTGACGCAATAAGCAATGCAGATGATCCATGTTCATTAATAAAGTTTGGATCACACTTGTGCTCTAGCAATAGTTTGACTATTTTAGTATGTCCCTTAAACGACGCAGCAATCAATGCAGAGTTACTGTTATAATTAACAATGTTTGGATCGCACTTGTGTTCTAACAATAGTTTGACTATTTCAGTATGTCCTTAAAATGACTTAGCAATCAATGCAAAGTTGCTGTTTTCATTAAGAATGTTTGGATCACAGTTGTGTTCTAGCAATAATTTGTCTATTTCAGTATGTCCTTTAACTGACGCAAAATGCAATGCAGAGTTGCTATGTACATTGACAACATTTGGATCACACTTGTCTTTTAGCAATAGTTTGACTATTTCAGTATGTCCTTTAGCTAACGCAACATACAATACAGTATTGCTGTCTTATTAATAATATTTGGATCACACTTGTGTTTTAGCAATGGTTTGACTGTTTCGGTATGTCCTTTAGCTAACCAAATATACAATGCAGAGTTGCTGTTTTCATTGACAATGTTTGGATCACAATTGTGTTCTAGCAATAGTTTGACTATTTCATTATGTCCGCTATCTGACGCAAGAAATAATGCAGAGTTGCTGTTTTCATTAACAATGTTTGAATCACACTTGTGTTCTAAGAATTGTTTCACTATTTCAGTATGTCCTTCAGCTGACGCTAAATACAATGCAGAGTTGCTGTTTTCATTTACAAAGTTTGGATCATACCTGTGTTCTAACAATTGTTTGACTATTTCAATATTTCCGGTACTTGACGCAACAAGCAATGCAGAGTTTTTGTATTTAAATACAATGTCTGGATCACACTTGTGATCAAGCAAAAGTTTGACTGTTTCAATATTTCCGCTTCTTGACGCAAGAAGCAATGCAGATTTTCTGCATTTATTGACAATGTTTGGATCGCACTTGTGTTCTAGCAAAAGTTTGACTATTTCAGTATGTCCTTTAAATGACACAGCAATCAATGCAGAGTTACTGTTATAATTAACAATGTTTGGATCGCACTTGTGTTCTGGTAATAGTTTGACTATTTCAGTATGTCCTTAAAATGACTTAGCAATCAATGCAAAGTTGCTGTTTTCATTAAGAATGTTTGGATCACAGGTGTGTTCTAGCAATAATTTGTCTATTTCAGTATGTCCTTTAACTGACGCAAAATGCAATGCAGAGTTGCTTTGTACATTGACAACATTTGGATCACACTTGTCTTTTAGCAATAGTTTGACTATTTCAGTATGTCCTTTAGCTAACGCAACATACAATACAGTATTGCTGTCTTATTAATAATATTTGGGTCACACTTGTGTTTTAGCAATTGTTTGACTGTTTCGTTATGTCCTTTAGCTAACCAAATAAACAATGCAGAGTTGCTATTTTCATTGACAATGTTTGGATCACAATTGTGTTCTAGCAATAGTTTGACTATTTCATTATGTCCGCTATCTGACGCAAGAAATAATGCAGAGTTGCTGTTTTTATTTACAATGTTTGAATCACACTTGTGTTCTAAGAATTGTTTCACTATTTCAGTATGTCCTTCAGCTGACCCAACATACAATGCAGAGTTGATGTTTTCATTGACAATGTTTGGATCACACTTGTGTTCTAGCAATAGTTTGACTTTTTCAATATGTCCTTTAAATGAAACAAAAAACAATGATGAGTAGCTGTTTTCATTGACAATTTTTTAATCACACTTTTGTTCTAGGAATAGTTTTACTATTTCAATATGGTCTTGAGATGACGCAAAAAACAATCCAGAGTAGCTGTTTTCATTAAAAATGTTTTGATCACACTTGTATTCTAGCAATAGTTTAACTATTTCAATATGTCCTTTAGATAACGCAAAAAACAATGCAGAATTACTGTTTTCATTTCCAATGTTTGGATCAAGTTTGTGTTTTAGTAATATTTTGGCTATTTCAGTAAGTCCTTCCTTCACGTGATGCAATAAACAATGCAGATGATCCATGTTCATTAATAAAGTTTGGATCACACTTGTGCTCTAGCAATATTTTGACTATTTCATGATGTCCTTTAGATGACGCAACAAACAATGCAGATTTGCTGTTTTCATTACCAATGATTGGATCACACTTGTGCTCTAGCAATAGTTTGACTATTTTAGTATGTCCTTCACCTGACGCAACAAACAATGCAGATGATCCATGTTCATTGATAAAGTTTGGATCACACTTGTGCTCAAGCAATAGTTTGACTATTTCAGTATGTCCTTCACCTGACGCAACAAACAATGCAGATGAACCATGTCCATTAATAATGTTCGGATTACACTTGTGTTCTAGCAATAGTTTGACTATTTCAGTATGTCCTTTAGCTGACGCAACAAACAATGCAGATTTCCTGTCTTTATTGACAATGTTAGGATCACACTTGTGTTCTAGCAATAGTTTGACTATTTCAATATGTCCTTTAGATGACGCAACAAACAATGCAGATTTGCTGTTTTCATTGACAATGTTTTGATTACACTTGTGTTTTAGCAATAGTTTGACTATTTCAGTATGTCCTTTATCTGATGCAAAATGCAATGCAGAGTTGCTGTTTTTATTAACAACGTTTGCATCACTCTTGTGTTCTAGCAATAGTTTGACTATATCAGTATGTCCTTTAGCTGACGCGGCAAACAATGCACAGTTGCTATATTCATTAACAACGTTTGGATCACATTTGTGTTTTAACAATAATTTGATTATTTCAGTATGTCCTTTAACTGACGCAGCATACAAAGCAGAGTTGCTGTTTTCATTAACAATGTTTGGATCACACTTGTGTTTTAGCAATTGTTTGACAATTTCAGTATGTCCTTTAGCTGACCCAACATACAATGCAGAGTTGCTGTTTTCATTGACAATGTTTGGATCACACTTGTGTTCTAGCAATAGTTTGACTATTTCAGTATGTCCGCTATCTGACGCAACAAATAATGCAGAGTTGCTGTTTTCATTAACAATGTTTGCATCACACTTGTGTTTTAGCAATTGTTTAACTATTTCGGTATGTCCTTTAGCTGACCCAACATACAATGCAGAGTTGCTGTTTTCATTGACAATGTTTGGATCACACTTGTGTTCTAGCAATAGTTTGACTATTTCAGTATGGCATTTAGCTGACGCAAGAAACAATGCAGAGTTTCTATTTGCATTAACAATGTTTAGATCGACCTTATTATGAATCAACAGTTTGGCGATACCCATATTATCATATTTAATTGCCAAGTAAAGTGGTGACTCGCCTGAGTTATTACAATCATTAGGATTTACATTATACTTTAATAATAACTTGACAGTTTGAACAAATCCTTGCGAGGCTGCTTTACAGAAAAGACGTTGATGGGACTTACAAACTTGAAGGAAGTCTTTTTTCAATAACATATTTAAGATGTTTTCATTTGCCAAAGCAAGTATTAGAGGTGACATTTCATCTTGACAAAAATTTCCTGCATGAATTTGACCGGTCAACAGCAGTGAAACAGCATCTTCATATTCACATGTTGTGGAAATTAAAAAGGACAGTTTATACTCTGTAAAAATTTTATCACAACACACAGAATAACACTTGTGCATTGATAATAATGTTAAAACATGTCTTTGAATTAAATCATTTTTGAAACACTGTTCTATATCTTTCTCATTTAAAGGTTCAATAAAAGATTTAAAAAGCATTGCATGCATCTTGTGCAAAACAATGCTTAATATTGACTTACTATACTTGGTACAGGTATCTGAACAACAAGCAGGTCTTAAAATATATTTTGCCATTTGTAAATGTTTCTGCAAGAGAGTAATGCAAAAAGGTAATTTAAGGTCAAACATACTAGGAATATGAAAACAATTGTGTGTTAACAATAATTCGACTACATTGTTGTATCCTGAATTTGCAGCAATTCGTAGTGGGTTCCAATTTTTGTGTCCATCATTATCCATATTGCATTTACTTTCTAACAGCAACTTAACAATAGGCCGAAACCCCATCCACGATGCAACATACAGAGTAGACATGCCATATTTGTTACAAAGATCAGGGTTACATTTGTTGTTTAATAGTAAATCAACTGCGTCTACATTTCCCTCCCAACATGATATAAATAATGGTGTTCTTTGATATTCATCACACACGTTTATATTCAAATTCATATCTATTAACATACGGATCATATCGCAGTATCCTTGTTTTGTCATTATCAGCAATGGAGAAGACTTCTTGTTTGAATGCATTGACATTGGCCCTGCTAGATCGGCTTTTTTCTTTTCAAACCATGAAATAAGTTTTGTTCGAAATAACTGGTATTGTAACTGGCGATTTAAAAATACATTTTCAACATTGCCTTTGTTCATATCTGTGCACAAACGTTCAAGATAGTCTTCTTCCTTTTCAGCAGATACAATAATCATATTTTCTCTTAAGGGCGCTCCTATAGAGTCAAATTGGAAACGATCACGTATTACATCTGGATGAGCGTACGCAATTACGAGATCAAACATGAACTGCCCAAAAAAAGAAATAATAATATCGAAGATTTTATCATGAATAACTTTGTACTTATTTTCAGTTTCAATGACGTAAGACTTCATTAAAAACTCTAATTGACGTTTCACTATCTTGATAGAAAAAACAGAGGGAATTTTAAACTCCTCTGACAAAGCATGTAAAATGGATCTGATTGCAGACGTTCTACATACATGTTCTTTTGTTAAACAGTTGTTGTAAATTACAAATAAAAATAACGTAGCTGCAGTTGTTTGATCACTCAGCTTCATCATAGAATGTAACTCTTGTCGGACAAAATCAACTGGTCTAGAAAATAACTTTTCAATATCACTTGATGTTTTGTTAGCAGAAAGCTTACATAGGAGCGGGAAAAAGTCATATTCATTAAAGTATTCTGTTAGCATAAGGGAAGCAACAGTATATTCAGGAAGGTATTTCCCTGCAATAAGGACCCTTTCATCAACAGTTAAAATGTGTTCATCTGACAACAAATCACAAACATTTCTGCAAATGATATTATCGTCTTTTTCAATTTGATTATATATGTGTGATCTACATGATGAAAAAATCTTAACAGTGTTTTTTTGCAAGATCTTGGTTATCTGCTCTGAAACTCTCGACCAAGTTTCAATTTTCGTCTGTTCTGACATATATTTTCCATAAACATCATCGAAGACAAATATCTGTTTCCTTTCAGGGTTAAAATAATTTCTCAAATCCATGGGATCATGACTATCAATAATGTCATAATCTTGATAAAGATGCAATTGAAGTGCAATATGATGCAAAGCAGTTGTTTTTCCGCAGCCGGGAGAACCAATCACTGTTATGGTATCTGCAGTTGTGGCGAGTTCTTTAAGATGTTGAATAGCTGATGTTTCGACCACATGCTTATCAAGTATCTTCCATGCATCGATTAAATGGTCAATCACCTCTACAAAATATGACAAATAAGTAGTACGGGTTCAATATATCTTACCTTATTAATGATTTAAGATTTTGCAAGAATTATTTGGTAGAATTAAAACTTCAAAATTGTAATAGATTTTTCAACAATCATAAATCAAACTATTTTTCTGCAAACAAATAAAAATCTTTTTTCCTTATAATCGTTTCCTTAATATTTCAGCGATTATATTGTCAAGCATCTCTTCAAAATATGAGAAATAATTAAAACATGTTCTAAATTAATCTACCAAACTATGTAAGATTATGCAGGAACTGTTAGGTAGAACTCAAGCTTCAAATTTGGTATTCATTAATCAACAGTTAAAATTAAAGTAGATTTTTTTTCAGCCAAAATAAAAAATAATAATTCGTCAGAATTGTTATCTTAATTTTCAGGCATGAATACACATATTTCAAACTTTCTTTGGAAAACAGACGTATTCCAGAATTAAAATACACGTAAATTAAACACATATTTAAGGCAGTGTTTTGCTTCGTATCCGTTTCTCACTGAAACACGCGGAATAAGCAACGTGACCAACAAATTTATAATGAAGTTATATATTTTAACAATGAACCCATGGTTAAAGCCTTGTCTGAGCCTGTTTAGCTTTCCTTGCCATTTCTAATGACACATTTTGCCAACCTATGGCTTAAAAAAAATAGTTCCTGTTGACAGCTTTCGAATAATTTCATGATGCAAGAAAAAACGTTCATTAAGGTCAATACTGGCACTTAAGTTTGAGAAATATTAGTCAAATGACCATCATATCCATTTAATGAAACATTTAATCTAATTTATATATTGATTATATAAAGTTGATATTGATTATCTAAAGTTTATATTAGTTCATTCAGAAGTGACTTAAATTAGTGTACTATACAGTATGCATAATTTTGGACTTTTTAAATATTTATGTCTGTGAGTGATTAAAGAAATTTGTATAAACTTCATTTTGTTAAATTATCATTTTAGTCGTAACAAGTGTGTGTTCATTTTATATGATATGTTAGTATCTTTATGTCATGATATTGTAATCTTGTATAAAGCAATTCATAACTTTGACTGATTTTGCGAAAAAATGTAGACCGTTTTTGCATCAGGAACATTTGGTTACGAAATGAGCCAACTTATAGATTGTTCAGATTTGTTTCGAGCCTATGTGTATCTTTCTATAGCAAGTTCATTTTTGTCAAAATAGTATAACACTAATAAAACCCATGCGAAAAAAGGGTGTCTGCTTACAAGCTGATTTTGCGTTAAAAATAACTCTTTGAGGATACACAGGTGTTCTGTTGCAAAGCAACATTTACGCCATAATCAAACATTTCCTCATTTTAGAATGGCTATCCAAATCATTCGAAAAAATCAGAGATGAAGATATCAAAGGGACATGCGAACTCATAAGTCGAAGATACATTGACTTCGCCAAAAAAATAAACAATAGTATACAAAACAATACATAAAAAAAAATGACTGAGCAACACAAACCCCACCACAAACCGCACATTTTTATCTAAATGAAGGATACACATTATTTTAGAGATCCACCTACACGATCAAGAGCAATGTACTTGTATCTGACCGGTGCTGTAGACAAGTGCCTATGCTGGAAATTCCAGTCCTTTGTACTGATCAGCCTACGTTGAAGAAATGGGATTTTAGAGAAACCACATATATCATTGCAGTAGGTAATTCATCGGCCTCTTGCTCATGAATTAAAATTTCCAAATGCTTCAACTCCTGCGATAGCCAATCATCAAATATTATAACCAATGAATTTGTAGATCTAAAATTATTTGTTTTTCACAAATTTGTTGTTTAGAATTTTTCTCAATCTTTGTTCCAGGATTATATCAGAAAGAAAAAAACGATTCATTCAAATCAATATTAAATGGTTACATCTCCTATAATGCATCTTCTGACAGGTTTGGATAATTTTTAGTTTTAACCATAATGATTATTTTGTTCCTGTCCAATTCTCCCGATGTACTATATTTTATATTTTTAAAATGTATCATGTTTATTTTATCGTAACCTTTTATTGTCGTTTTAGGTGTTAAGTGTTAGTGTTGTTGGGCAATAACGTGAATAGAAAGTCAATTCACAATAGATCTTGTAAATACATATCTACATTTTCTATCTTAATAAATCTGATATTTTTTAATGAGGTTAAACAATTTTTATGATAATTAAAAGCAGTGCTTTATTTGTTGTAAAATTTAATTTCATGAAAATAACTCCTAATAAATTTTTTGGCTTTTTTAACTTTTATTATTCGAGCGTCACTGATGAGTCTTATTGTATACGAATAGGCGTCTGCCGTACAACATTGTAATCCTGGTATCTATGATGGGTTTCTATATAGTGAAATAGTGATAACATTAATGGTACCTGTTATCATTAAATTTTAAAAGACCTTTTAATTCTGATAATGTATACTGTTCACAATTTCTTTCTATCAGTTCAATATTTCTGATTTCTTGGTCTCTATTATAATTTTCAAGATAGACATTACTTGTATTTCACCCTTTTGTTCTTTTTTCTGCCATGGCGGCCATATTGATTAACAAACAGTGGTATTATGAACAAAGCACAATTAAGACACCTTCAGGATAAATTCATTTTGAGGTTTATTTAAATTTGTTCAGAATGAGCAAATCTTTACAAAAAAATCAGCGACGACAGACGACGGACGACGGACACCAAGTGATAACAAAAACGTATACTGGTATTTTTCGTTTAATAAACTTAAAATATTTCTCTAAACTTCCTTTCATTTATTAATATATAGTTGCCAAGCCTAATATATTATACACAGGCTATCAGTAAAAGAAAAACAAGCAATCTTTAGAACAAATTTACATACCTTGAAAGCCTATTGAAATTGGATTGTTTGACCTCTCATTATTTCTGAACTCGTTCAATATTTCCATATCATTTTTGTCTAGCGTGGACACTTTTAGATCATTACATTTTTGTTGAAAGTCGATACCACCTAGACGTACAACAGCCTGTAAAATAATGTCCTCCTTAATGTGTATGATTTAAAGATACTTTTCTGAAAATATTCAGATTGATAAAGGGAATCTTGACGTCAAATGTTAAAAGGGGGAAGAGATGGTGAACAGTGATCTCTAGCTTTTTAACTCTGATGTTGCGATTTCGAACTAAGCTCCTGACGAGGCGTGTTCAACTGTGAAATTATTCAACAAGGATTGATAGTTTCCCTGGCGAAAGTAGTTTGTTGACTATGGATATTATATCTTCCTTCGTCATAAAAAATAGTCAAGGTAAAGCGACGGTTGCTGAAAGTGACGCAAAAATAAACAAAACTTGGCCTCACACCTTTATCCCGTCGATTGAATATTAAGGAATCCACGACTAATAATTTTTTGAGTTATGATATATTGTTTTGACATGAATTATCATTGATGTGATCATAATTATAAATCAATTGTTCAAAACACTTTGGATTTTTTTAAATACTAAAGATGTTCTACCCCAGGAGTAGATTACCGTAGCTGTATTTTGCCAAAACTATCTGAATTTTGGGTACTCAGAGCTTTTCACCATTGTACTATATTTGGTCTTGTTAACTTTGCTGACTCAAGTGTCACTGATGAGTCTTGTGTATATGAAACGCGCGTCATGCGTACAAAATTTGAAGCCTGATATCTAAGATATATTAACTTACGATAAGTCCTAAAATTTACGAAGGTGTATTAGCTTATATGTCAAGATGTATAACGGAAGCGGCTTGATTTTTCAACCAATTCCACTTTTTTCTACGATGATCATGGTTTTCCGAGTTTAGGTGAAAAAGTCAGGGTTAATTATGAGATTTTGCATCTATTAAGATGACAAGTTATCGAGGTCAATGGTGAAATCATTATGTTATTACGACTTTCCAATGGTCACTAATGACATTCCGGTACCTTCGATGGAGGTTATCTCCCTTAGAGTTGTGAATTTTTGTCAAAATAGAAACATGTTGCGGGTTAATTCCTAGCATTTTCCACGATTTACTTTTACTCGAACTTTGATATTTCAGAGTTCATCTAATAAGTGGAAAGGTCATGGTAACCTTGCATATTGGTATTTGTCAACGCCTGTTCTTAAGTAGACCATTATATCTCAACCTCAAGCCTTGCGATCATAAAACTTTCAAGCACGATTTTCGAACTCAGACTCATAAATTAACTAATGAAAATCCTGGATTTGGTGTTTCGAGCACAAATTCTGTAGTTCGAGTATTGAGTAAAGTTTAATGACCGAGAGCCCATGTCACTAAGACTTATATTTTTGGAATTCTGACGTTTTTGGAGCGGGTTTCAGATTTCGTAAAAATGAAATGCAGTAGCGCCATGAGGCAAGAAATATTTACCTTCTTTCGAGTTTCCTCCAGAGAAAATAGAACTATTTTATTTTCCTTGCATTCGATTGCCTGAGGTGTACCCTTCTAGTTGAAGTAACTTAGCTTTAGAGCGCTGTGACTGGATGTATGAGTATAATGTAAATTTTTATTTTCACACATGAACAATTGCAATACAGTGAAAAAATTGAAACATATAGAATTTTATTTCTTTAGAATTTTTCAAAAAGGCTTTTGATTTTTGTTTTATAGATATGGTGTAAAATTACGGTTGCTATATCGATACTAGTACTATAAAATAAAATTGAGAATGGAAATGGGGAATGTGTCAAAGAGACAACAACCCGACCATAGAACAGACAACAGCAGGAGGTCACCACTAATAACCTACTTAAAACGAAAATGGCCTTGCTGCAATTTGTCTTCTATTCTAAAACAAAATTATAAGGCAATTTCATCGTATATGTTTCTGCAATTTGTTTTTTTA